GGTAGTGGTAGTGGTAGTGGTAGTGGTAGTGGTAGTGGTAGTGGTAGCAGTAGTAGTAGTAGTAGTAGTAGTAGTAGTAGTAAAGTAGTCAGTAGTAGTAAAGTAGTCAGTAGTAGTGGTCATTCTGTCGTAGTGGTCATTCTGACTGAAATGCGGATGTCGTTCAGAGGCCTTTTTTCGCCGAGAAATCTGGCTAAATACTGTCCATCGAAAGTGAGCAGCAGCAGGAGCAGCAGGAGAAGGAGCAGGAGCAGCACCAGCAGCAGCACCAGCAGCAGCAGGAGCACCAGCAGCAGCAGGAGCAGCAGGAGGAGCAGGAGGAGCAGGAGCAGCAGAGGGAGCAGGAGCAGCAGGAGGAGCAGGAGCAACAGCAGGAGCAACAGCAGGAGCAGGAGGAGCAACAGGAGCAAGAGCAGCAGCAGCAGCAAATACATGATGTACGCAGTTAAGGACATCGTTCCAATGTCGTTTTGGATGTCGTCCGGAGGGTCGTTCCCCAACTAAATAACACATTCCACAAAGACAGAAAACATCGGAAATAGCTGCGGCGGTGCGTGGAATTCTGAACGAAGATCCCACAAGACTACTTTACATCAATCCACCTTTTTTTCTGGCTCAAATGACTAACACCAAAATGCGAACGAGGAATGAAAGGATGCGATTAGATCTATTGCAAAGGATGAAACTTGTTGGACCTCATTCAGTTGTAGGTCTGCCAGGTCGCAGCTTCAGCCTCCCAGGTCTCTGGTGTCTCCCCCGACTTCCGCACCTCAACCGGTGGAATGTTCTCTGCGGAAGCGCTCCAGGTGACTGCGGAGAAATTGGGTGTCCTCGTGGTCAGGGCCATGCAGCTCCTGCGCAGCGTGTCGGTGGAGGCTCTCTGTGGCTGAGGGTGAGGTCTCAAGGATCTCAAAGTGTCTCAACGGGTCCGGGCTGCGGAAAAACGAGATGATGCTGGCGCGATGTCCCAACCGGGAGATCAGAAGATCTGCATCAAAAATGATCTCTCCAAGTGAGCCCAAGATCCATGTTGATCAATTGGACCTTAGACCTGTTTATATATCTTTAACTGAACCCGCCCATTAGAGTCGTCGAGCTTCCAGCCTTGTAACCCTTCAAAGCTCTAAGATAGAGCTCTTCTGCCTGGACAAGCCGGCCCGAAGTGATTGGCCATGAGGCAATCATGAACATCTTGCCATCTTGGCAAAGCGAAAATGAGAAAGGTCCAATTGAATTAGTTGGTAGATGGCCATGGCCAAAGAACATGTTTTGAAGAGCAGGTCTTGCCGACCCTCCACCGAGTGGATGTGAAACGACCATGATATCATGGTCACATCCGTGGGTCAGCAATGTCCCTACAATGTGCACCTTGACGGGGCGACCACTGAGGTGAGCAGAAAGAAAGGCAAGTGAAAAACCTGGATGAACAAAACAGAAACATCAAAATCTTCATGAATCATGAACCTTTTGACATCCAACAGTCCTCATTCTCCCACATCTTCTTTCATGCCAAGAGGCATCTCAAACATCAAGAAAAATGACGACGCCTTCAAATACCCCTCCAAAAGGATCCCAAAACCTAAAACATTGCCAAATGATGGCGAACACGACTTAACATCTTAATTTCATTCCAACAAAAATTGAAAAACACACAAAAAAACATTGGATAAAGACCTCCAGAGAAAGAACTGTCTTTGATTTCCAGCACTAAAACACTAAAACTAAAAGTAATTAAAAGATATCAAAAGTATCTCATAAAAATAACGACTTCTCAGAAACCACATCCAAAAGAATCCAAAAAGTACTAAAACAGTGCCAAATGTTGCCCAAAACATCCAAACTGACAAAACATCCATGTTATCCCTTAAGGCATTGCAACCAAAAAAACTGCAAAACACATCAAACAACAGATGGCAAAGACCTCAAAAAAAAGGACTTGTTCGTTCATTTCCACCACTTTCTTCGGTTCCGCTTCTTCGGCCTTTCCCGAAGACCGACCTCTCACGGCTCCCCCGACCTCGGCTCCACGGCTCCACGGCTCGAAGCGACCGCTCTCCGCGCCTCGGCCAGGTGGCCGCCCTTCGCCTCCAAAAGGTCGGCGAGATTGAAGACGGTCGTCAGAGTGCTCGGATGACGGGCTCCCAGTTGTGCTTCAAAGCCTGCTAAAGCCCTTCTGTAAAGGACTTCGGAGTCCTCGAGCTTGCCCTGCTCCTTCAGCAACCCCGCAAGGTTGTTGACCGACGTCAATGTGCTCGGATGATTTGCTCCCAGTTGAGTTTCACGGGCTGCCAGCACTCTTCTGTGAAGAGCTTCGGCCTCTTCGAGTTTGCCCTGCTTCTGCAGCAACAACGCAAGATTGTTGACGGCCCTCAATGTCTCAGGATGATGCGCCCCCAGCTGTGTCTCCCAACCTCCTAAAGCTCTTCTCGAAAGCGGCTCGGCTTCTTCGCGCTTGCCCTGGTTCTCCAGCAACACTGAGAGGTTATTGACGGACTGCAATGTGTCCGGATGCAAAGGCCCTAGCAGCGTCTCACGGCCTTCCAAAGCTTTCCTGCAAAGCAGCTCACCCTCTTCCAGTTTCCCTTGATTCGTCAAGACTACCCCGAGATCGTTCACCGAGTCCAGGGTCTCTGCATGCATCTCTCCCAGCACACGTTCACGTCCGATCACAGCTCTTCTGCACAAAGTCTCAGCCTCCGCCAGGTTCCCTGCGCAATACATCGTCTCCACCAGTTTCTGCACCTCTCTGAGGGTCGCCGCTTCGCTGATTGCCAGGGCTTGCCGCTGCAGCGGCTCCGCCTCGGCATAGTCACCGCGCGCCGTCAGCACGTTCGCCAACCTCGGGGCGAGGGGGGGGCGCAAGGGCCGAAGTCTCGGAGTTTTACTCCCGTTTCACAACGGTTTTTCATGTACGGAAGAATTCGAGATTGAACGAAGACTTTCTTGTGTCTTCAGTTCGACTTATTGTTGGAAATTGAGATCCACTATCTGCTTTAGTTCATTATTTCGGTTATATAATACATTACATTGTCTGGTTGGTGAAAAGACCAAGGCCCCAGCCGGCTCGATGCCTTGAGGGTTTCAAAATGCTCTGATCCCAGTCTCTCTTCGATAGCTTTGGCGCGGCAGCGGACCCTTGGCTAGAGAAAATCTCAGAGAAAAACTGGGTTGAACGTTGGGCTACGGCTTGCTCTGTCCAGAATGCAAAGCTTGGCAGTGGTCGGAACTCCTTGCAATTCATGTTTTTGGAACCCTCACTCAAACAGTCTCAGCATACAAATTTCTAGATTTTGTGCTGTACCATTTAATGCAAGGGTTCACTGCTAAGCTACATCAAAATTTCTAAAGTTCAAGGAGTGCCATGAAGCCTTGTGACTGGTTTCTCATCGCAAACAAGCATCGCTTCCATCAGCACTGCTCTGGCATTGCCAACCTCCTCCTCCGTTTCCACTCGAATGACGAAACACTGTCGAGGCGGCATTCCATCTTCGTTGAGCGGCATTCCAGCTAAATTCCTCGGCAGAAATTAGCCCATTCCCCAGGCAATTTAAGGCTTAACATCGGTCCAAAATCACGCAGTCACATCTAGGAGATGCAAACTAGGTGTCCGGCACACCAACGGGCTTCCCCTGTCAAAACAGGACTGGTGACAAGCAAAAGTATTCTTGCACCCTTCCAAAACAAAACTTGAGCTGCCCGAAAACGTACACAACTGGCGGTTGGAACCCGCCCCGCTCCACTTCGCCTGCTTGACCATTTCAGGCGTTCGTCTCTTCGACACATCATAGGCCACGGATGCATTGACGAGTATAGGGATGCAGAAGGACACCCGGGATCTGTATTCCTCCGATACAAGATTTGAAGAGGCATCTGCTGGTCAAAGACTCAATGACTGGTATTCATATAAACACTCCGCAGCAAAAGGATATCATCAAGGAACAACCGGGAGCTCTCCTTCACAGCTGCCTCACGACCCTTCAAGTCAATGTCTCGCTTGAGCATCCTCCTATAGTTGTTATCAAGCAGTCTTTCGAGATTGGGCCACTCATCTGGGGGCTTCTGTACGGAGTAAACTCCTGGCAAGTGCAAGTCTCTCGTACAAGTGTTCGTGTGAGTGAGTGCACCTCCACAGTTCCTTCATGTTCCTTCTCTGCTCTTCACTTTTGCATGAACTGTGAGAAACTCTATGTTCACTTTCTGGTATGCATTCCTGATCAGATCAAGTTTGTTGTTTCAAAGGCAATCGGCAAGTAAACAGTCCTGCCCCCCACCAAGCGTTGGCCTTCTCACCGGTCGTTATCAGAGAAGCCTGCGGATATGCAAACGCCAGGAGCTGACCAAAAGGAATGCCTGAAATCAAAGACATGGACTTTTACATAAGCTTCATGAATGCTGAGGGCATCGCGAAGAGTTCCACCACTGACTTTGCGGGATCTGTGATGTTTCTAAAGCCAAGCTCATTGGTATAGTGGAAGAAACACTGCACATCGCTGGCATCGCTAGCTTGAGTCAGGTCAAGGGCATCCTGCCAGACCTGAGAGAAACTTCTGTGTCTTCGTATCTCAGCAGGTGTGCAATGTGTGTGTGTGTGTGTCAAACAAGAACAAATGCCACGCAAGAAGTGTACATGCATGTTTCATAATTTTCCCATGGCACCTTCACATCCAGTCCGGTGTGGACCCAGCACCAGTCTTTCGGGTCATGCCGGTACTCTTCATGATCGAACACACAGCCTTGCTTGTAGCTTTTCTCAAAATAATCTTTCAGACTGGCCTGGGGCAGGGCAGTGAGCCACTTTCGCAAAAGAGTTGCAAGAAGACTGACTGGACTTCTGCGTACTCTTGAAAGCCTTGAAAGCCCACTGAGTTTTGAAGTCACACTCCCACGATCGCCGCAGCGGCACACTATCAGCGATGCTTGCAACAAGACCATAAAGGGTGGGGTAAGTGTAGTTGGCTCAAGTAGATTCGAATGTCAGGCAAGGAATTGCACAAATTAGAGCTCGCTTGAAACTCAGAAGATTCCGAAGCATCGACAACGCTTGAAGTCCCAGAATTTGAGCCCCAGCCTTGGAAAGTTTAGGCACCTTGCACGAAAACGTGCGCACTTTGTACGGTATCTGTATGCTCTTCAAGATCTAAACAAAGTGTGTGTGTGTGGGCGATGAAACTGGCTGCAGTCGAATCTAAAAGTTGGTGTTGGCATCTCTGTGTGCATGTGTCGTGAGAACTGCTCATCAACACACCTTGTGAAATATCTATAAGCTAAGCAAAACAATCGTCCCCATTAGCTAACGGAGCAAATGGAAGAAAAAACACAAGCGGAAAACAAGCGGCCTGAGAGGAGGCGCCGGTCTCGGCTTCGGTCCGCTGCTCCTGGGCTCTCGGTCTTGCCAAACGAGGTTTCGGTGCACCTTTTGTCTCAAGGAAGAACAGCCGAGGTAGACCCAAAGGAGAACTCCAAACCAGGCAGCAAACCAACCGTTTCGAGTGACTACGGACCCGGTATGAAAATAGTACATATATGTAAGATGTATGACGTATCTTTCCAAGCCAAACTCTTGATCCGCTTCGCACCCGATCCGCGTGTTTTCAACTCCCCACAGGGAACGCAGGCAGATCGGTGGAATGTCTGATGCCAACACGCTTCCGGCGGATCACGGTGGATCTCGGAAAAGCTGCAGTTGTTCGGTACTCTACACCCTACAGCAAGGCGCTGTCAACATGAGCCACCGGTACTTTGAAAATGGCATGTCAACACTTGTTGAGATATCTGATGGTCCCTGCCTTGGTCTCTTTTTGAGCTTCCTTTGGCCTGCTCAGTTGTTCCTTCCGCACCTGTCAATTGAATGTACAATTTTCGGTAGAATATGTCCAGATTGTCACTGCACATGTTTGCAGCCATGTCTAGCCAGGTCAGACATTGGACCTCAAGAAATGAAAACACCCAGGCATGAAAGGGCGACAAAAGGTGCAGAACTAAGAAGGCGAGGAACCTACAATATGTAGCAACTACCTAGCAGTTGAGTGCGAGCCAAAAGTCGTCTGGACAATTTCAGACAAATTCATCGGTTGGTGGTTGTAAACAGGTCAAATCATTAGAGTCAGGAAATAGCAAACACAACCATTCACCAATCACTTCAGGCTGCTTCCAGCGAGGCACCATAGAACAACATGCCGGAAGGAAAGGGCAAAAGGTAGGCAACAAGTAGCTGCAACATGCTGCAGCACAGGTCAGACTTTGTCTCATGCTTGGAACAAGCCAAGGGAATGTATGAATACTAAAATACAAGCAAACTACACAAAACCCTTGTGGCAAATACGCTAGTGCCCCTGTCTTCGCCTTAACCTCCTTTCCATTGCTGGACGAGCTCGGCTCCTCATTCTGCGCCTGGCGGAAAACGAACGGCTTCAAGAGTTAGGGGAAAAGCTGCTTGTCTTGATGTTCAATGTTCAAGCTCCATTTCCATACGGCTCATGTGGACGTGTTGCTGCGCTGGATGCCACCCGCTAGAAACAAACTGAGACTTTACCTGCAGGCGACGGACACGATGCCACGTCGGACAGACCAACGAATGTGGAGTGTAGATCATTGGCAGCTCAAATACGTCCTTTTGCTCACCAGCTCTCGTGAACGCTATAAGCGCACGCAGGAACTCCCTTTGCGACACCTCAAATGTTGAAGGCTTCTTCACATCCCTCCCTTCTCTCACACGGCTTTCAGCTTTGTGTACCTTACCGGGCATTCACCAGAGTCAATAAATAAAGGCATCTGGTGTTGCGACGCAATATCATCAAATATCAATACTGGGCAGTGAGGCAAAGAAAACTATCAAGGACAGTCTGTTGACGTTACCCTGAACCTGAGAGCGTGTGCATGAAGAGCAAGCACCACACGCTGTTAAGAATTGCCCCTCACCTTCATGCATGTTCTTGCTTGTTTAGCACGTTTGTGTACAGTCTTTGAGCAGTGAAAAAAAAGAACATCTTTCATAGCGGTGTGTATTGCTGGTCGAGTCAACTCCAACAACCTTAGCTTGCAACAACATGTGTAGTATATTACTTAAGTAGGAGAAAGAAAACAACGTTTACTGTGTTCGAACAAATGCTCTTTAGGATGCCCATGAACACAAACATGCTGAAGTATTGCACAAAGCATGAAAATCACTGGAACAACAAGTCTTAAAGCACCACGCATACAGCAGAAGACAGAGAATGGTGCACCCTGCAAGTCGCTTGTTGAAGAGAATCACTGCAGTCCACCATAGGAGAGATTCGCGCGGCCGTTTTGTGGCCAGATTCCAGAAAACAACCAGGCAGATCCGCTGATCACAAGCATGCAGCAAAGGCATTCTATAATATTCTATATTATATAGTTATCTTTATATATACCTATAAGCTCTTTGAATCTCATCCGATCATTTAGAAATTGCAAAAGTCGGATTCTGGCCCGTGGTGGATGCTTTTCTGCTGCAAAAAATGAATCTCCCAAGAAGTGCACCTCGGAGGTGAAGAGGATATCCAAGAAGTCTTTCACGCCTCAAGACTTGATTGGTTACACCAGCTGTCTTGTTGTGAGCGCTTTCAGCTGGGCGTCTCATCACTATTTGTTAGTCAGGGATTCTCCTTGTGACTACTCTTGCCCATCCCTGCCAAGCTGCGAATCTGTGAGTCTTCTGGGTAGTCCTGCTGATCGGTGTCAGGGGTGCACACAGTGGCAAGCCAAACAATGCAGAGGAGACCAACCTAGGGCCCTAGGGCGAGATGTGATGAGTTTACATATACTCAACAATCCTTCCGGTTCCTCCCACAGATATGTGAAAATCTCCTGCAGAAGGAC